CAAATCGCATGCCAAGTCACACCTAATGTGATCGGGGTGTTAATTTATTTATAGTCATTTTTTTAGGCTCTTCCAGGCCTCAAAAACAACATATGGAGTCAAAATGGAAGCCATGGAAAAAGGCCCCCGGAAACCAATGCATTTTATCGGTTTTCAGGTCATATCAGCTGCAGCAACTATCGTACATGGAGAGTCTTTTGTAAAATTGATGGTGGTTTTCTAATGCAGAGTAATAAATGCAAAATGTAATTAACCTCTGTAATCAGAACATCACAAGAGGATATGTTCACAGTTTATGTTTATAGTTATATCTGGGCACCAAAAATGACTGCTTTCCTCTGGTAGAAGAAAATGAAGAAAATTATTTATATAGAGAGTAGGTGAGCGCACAATAAATCACATCAAATCAAAAAAAGCTGCTGGCATAAAAGGATAGAGCCCCCTAAATCCTCCAAAAAAATAATAGATAAAATATGCAGCGCTGATAAAATGTAAAAGGACTAACTAAAATCTAGTAACAAGATAAATAGTGAATGGATGAATAACGATAATAACGAATGATACACATGAAAATGATAATATAGCACCAAAAATATTACACTAATATATATATATATATATATATATATATATATATATAATGTATATAAATATATAAATTATGATTATGAACATATAAAAATATAGAAATATATAAAGTGCCTAAAAAGTGCCAACAAGGAAACAATACAGTAATGTTATGGACCAACATGCACCTTCGGCGGCGTGACGTCAGCACGGCAAGGCTCCTCCCCGACGCGTTTAGTGCGACAGCACTTTCTCGAAGATCCCTTTGAGAACGTGCTGTCGCACAAAACGCGTCGGGGAGGAGCCTTGCCGTGCTGATGTCACGCCGCCAAGGCCGCATGTTGGTCTGGTGGCCATCTTGATTACTTATGTAATCTGGATTTCTTTTTGCTACTGTTTTTTACCTGGTTTACTTGACCCTAATAAAAAAAAATACTACACTATATGATTCCTGTTTGGTGGCCTGGTTTACTGAGCCATTTTTAAGGAGGAAGATTGACATCCATTAGTGCCGTGGCTGAGCTGAGACCGAGTTTTAAGGAGAAGTTCCTTCCCCATCCCCTGTGCTGGATTAGTCTGTTGGACGTGTGTGGAGTGATTCCCCTGTTATATGAGTGTGCCAGTGGAGCCCCCTTCTGTCCTGACCAGATCCATGATGACCACCAGGGTTTTGCTTGGAAATTATTACTTCATGCGCATATGACTTGCGCTTCTGGTAAGAGCAAGCACATATTAATTGTTCACAACCTGATGTCATGAGCACTGGAGTCATCCCTAATCCCAACCACCAAATCACTATTGGGTTTGAAGTTTGAAATCATTCTGATTCTCATCCGGTCACGATTGTACTTGATTACAGACTATTGAGCACTATTGTAGCACTTTCTCAACTTAATTGATTTATATACAGATATATCTTTAGGTGCACTATTTAGTGCACTTATTTTGCTCACTGTTCACAATTTATCCAGCCATAACATTACTGTATTGTTTCCTTGTTGGCACTTTTTAGGCACTTTATATATTTCTCTATTTTTATATGTTCATTAGAGATGAGCGAATCGAACCTGGCGAAGTGGAATTCGTTTTGAATATTAGGAAAAAAATTCGATTCGCGCCGAATCCGAATATTAGCAAACTTCGGATGCACGAATCGAATTTTCCCCGATCGGCCGATTTTCATCCCTTCTACAGCCGGCAAAAAGTGTCCCTGCAGAGAGCTCCGCTATTTCTGACAGTTCTCTGACAGTTCCTTCACATTTACAGCAGTTGAAACATTGTATCTATTTGTTTCCATTTAGGATACAGATGTTTTTATTCGGAAACAAATAGATACAATGTTTCAACCGCTGTAAATGTGAAGGAACTGTCAGAGAACTGTCAGAAATAGCGGAGCTCTCTGCAGATACACTTTTTGCTGCACTGGAATTCTTCTTCATCCTCATCCTACTTCTTCTTCTTCTTCTTCATCCTCATCCTACTTCTTCTTCTTCTTCTTCTTCTTCATCATCCTCATCCTTCTTTCTTCTTCTTTTTCATCCTCATCCTACTTCTTCTTCTTCTTCTTCATCCTCATCCTACTTTTTCTTCTTTCTTCTTCTTCATCCTCATCTTCTTCTTCTTCTTCTTCTTCTTCTTCTTCTTCATCTTCATCCTCACCCTTCTTCTTCTTCTTCTTCTTTTTCTTCTTCTTCTTCTTCATCCTCATCTTACTTCTTCTTCTTCTTCTTCTTCTTCATCCTCATCCTACTTCTTCTTCTTCTTCTTCTTCTTCCTCATCATTCTCATCCTACTTCTTCTTCTTCATCCTCATCCTACTTCTTCTTCTTCTTCATCCTCATCCTACTTCTTCTTCTTCTTCATTCATCCTCTTCTTCTTCTTCTTCTTCTTCATCCTCATCCTACTTCTTCTTCTTCTTCTTCTTCTTCTTCATCTTCTTCATCCTCATCCTTCTTCTTCTTTCTTCTTCATCCTCATCCTACTTCTTCTTCTTCTTCTTCTTCATCCTCATCCTACTTCTTCTTCTTCTTCTTCTTCTTCATCCTCATCCTACTTCTTCTTCTTCTTCTTCTTCTTCATCCTCATCCTACTTCTTCTTCTTCTTCTTCATCTCATCCTCTTTTCTCTTCTTCTTCTTCTTCTTCTTCTTCTTCTTCTTCTTCTTCCTCATCCTCATCCTACTTCTTCTTCTTCTTCATCCTCATCCTACTTCTTCTTCTTCTTCATCCTCATCCTACTTCTTCTTCTTCATCCTCATCCTACTTCTTCATCCTCATTCTTCTTCTTCTTCTTCTTCTTCATCCTCATCCTCTTCTTCTTCTTCTCATCATCCTCTTCTACTTCTTCTTCTTCTTCATCCTCATCCTCTTCTTCTTCTTCTTCATCCTCATCCTACTTCTTCTTCTTCTTCTTCTTCTTCTTCATCCTCATCCTCACTCTTCTTCTTCTTCTTCTTCTTCTCCTCATCCTCTTCTTCTTCTTCTTCTTCTTCTTCTTCTTCTTCTTCATCCTCACTTCTACTCTTCTTCTTCTCTTCTTCTTCTTTCTTCATCCTTCATCCTCATCCTCTTCTTCTTCTTCTTCTTCTTCATCTTCCTCATCCTACTTCTTCTTCTTCTTCTTCTTCATCCTCTTCCTTCTTCTTTCTTCTTTTCTTCTTCTTCTTCTTCTTCTTCATTCTTCTTTTCCTCATCCATCTTCTTCTTCTTCTCTTCTTCTTCATCCTCATCCTACTTCTTCTTCTTTCTTCTTCTTCTTCATCCTCATCCTTCTTTCTTCTTCTTCTTCTTCTTCATCCTCATCCTCTTCTTCTTCTTCTTCATCCTCATCTTCTTCTTCTTTCTTCTTCATCCTCATCCTACTTCTTCTTCTTCTTCTTCTTCATCCTCATCCTCTTCTTCTTCTTCTTCTCCTTCATCCTCATCTTCTTCTTCTTCTTCTTCATCTCTTCTTCTTCTTCTTCTTCTTCCTCATCCTACTTCTTCTTCTCTTCTTCATCCTCTACTTCTCTTCTTCTTCTTCTTCTTCTTCTTCTTCTTCTTCTTCTTCATCCTCTCCTTCTTCTTCTTCTTCTTCATCCTCATCCTATCTTCTTCTTCTTTTCTTCTTCTTCTTCTTCTTCTTCTTCTTCTTCTTCATCCTCATCTATCTCTTCTTCTTCTTTCTTCATCTCTCCTCTTCTTCTTCTTCTTCTTCATCTTCATCCTCTTCTTCTTCTTCTTCTTCTTCTTCTTCTTCTTCTTCATCCTCATCCTCTTCTTCTTCTTCTTCTTCATTCTTCTTCTTCTTCTCTTCTTCTTCTTCTTCTTCTTGCCATGGGCCCCTCGCCTCCTCATTCTTCTTCTTCCAGAGTGTTCATGGGTCCCTGTACGGCCTCCCATTGCTGCTGTCTCCATCTTCACTCTTCATGTGCCACTTTCAGGTCTCTTCCTCACACTTCTGGTGGGTTCCATTTTGTCATAGGGTGCTGTATGGCCTCCCATTCTGCTGCCTCCACCGCCACACTGTGGCTCCACACTCTGGTTTTGGCCCCGTGACTGCCCAAAATGAGTGAAGTGTGCTGATTCTAAGATCGATGGCACTCATCTGCATGTCATACTTGACTGACTTATTATTTCTCTTCTCAGCAGACTCCAAGGGCATTTAAATTAAAGGTACAGTGTTCTGCACTAATATAAAGGCTCTCTGAAGCCTAGAAACCCTTTTAATAAGTTAAATTCGCAGCGAATAAATTCGCATCGAATCGAATTTATTCCACAAATTCTTCTTCTTCTTCTTCTTCTTCATCCTCATCCTTCTTCTTCTTCTTCTTCTTTCCTTCCTCATCCCTACTTCTTCTTCTTCTTCTTCTTCATCCTCATCCTCTTCTTCTTCTTCTTCTTCTTCTTCTTCTTCTCATCTCATCCTTCTTCTTCTTCTTCTTTCTTCTTCTTCTTCATCCTCATCTTCTTCTTCTTCTTCATCTTCATCCTACTTCTTCTTCTTCTTCTTCTTTCATCCTCATCTACTTCTTCTTCTTTCTTCTTCTTCATCCTCATCCTACTTCTTCTTCTTCTTCTTCCTTCCTACTTCTTCTCATCCTACTTCTTCTTCTTCTTCTTCATCCATCCTACTTCTCTTTCTTCTCATCCTCATCTCTTCCTTCTTCTTCTTCATCTCTCATCTTCTTCTTCTTCTTCTTCTTCCATCCTACTTCTTCTTCTTCTTCTTCATCCTCATCCCTTCTTCTTCTTCTTCTTCATCCTCATCCTACTTCTTCTTCTTCTTCTTCTTCATCTCATTTTCTACTTCTTCTTCTTCTTCTTCATCCTACTTCTATTCTTCTTCTTCTTCTTCTTCTTCTTCTTCTTCTTCTTCTCATCTCTTCTTCTCTCATCTTCTTCTTCTTCTTCTTCTTCATCCTCTTCTTCTTCTTCTTCTTCTTCTTCTTGCCATGGGCCCCTGTACCGCCTCCTCATGCTGCTGCCAGGTCCAGAGTGTGTCATGGGTCCCTGTACGGCCTCCCATTGCTGCTGTCTCCATCGCCACACTCTGCCATGTGCCACTTTCAGGTCTCCTCACACTTCTGGTGGGTTCCATTTTGTCATAGGGTGCTGTATGGCCTCCCATTGCTGCTGCCTCCACCGCCACACTGTGGCTCCACACTCTGGTTTTGGCCCCGTGACTGCCCAAATGAGTGAAGTGTGCGGTGATTCTAAGATCGACGGCACTCATCTGCATGTCATACTGACTGACAGTATTATTTCTCTTCCCCAGCAGACTCCAAGGGCATTTAAATTAAAGGTACAGTGTTCTGCACTAATATAAAGGCTCTCTGAAGCCTAGAAACCCTTTTTAATAAGTTAAATTCGCAGCGAATAAATTCGCATCGAATCTTTTATTCCACTTTTCTTCTTCTTCTTCTTCTTCTTCTTCTTCTTCCTCTTCATCTTCTCTTCTTCTTCTTCTTTCTTCTTCATCCTCATCCTCTTTTTCTTCTTCTTCTTCATCCTCATCCTACTTCTTCTTCTTCTTCTTCTTCTTCTTCTTCATCCTCCTTCATCCTTCTTCATCTTCTTCTTCTTCATCTCATCCTCTCTTCTTCTTCTTCTTCTCATCCTCCTACTTCTTCTTCTTCATCATCCTACTTCTTCTTCTTCTTCTTTCTTCATCCTTTCTCTTCATCCTACTTCTTCTTCTTCTTCCTCATCCTCTTCTTCTTCTTCTTCTTCTTCCTCATCCTACTTCTTCTTCATCTTCTTCTTCTTCTTTCTTCATCCTCATCCTCTCATACTTCTTCTTCTTCTTCTTCTTCATCCTCATCCTACTTCTTCTTCTTCTTCTTCTTCATCCTCATTCTTCTTCTTCTTCTTCTTCATCCTACTTCTTCTTCTTCTTCTTCTTGATCCTCATCCTACTTCTTCTTCTTCTTCTTTCTTCATCCTCATCCTACTTCTTCTTCTTCTTCTTCTTTCATCCTCATCTTCTTCTTCTTCTTCTTCTTCTTGCCATGGGCCCCTGTACCGCCTCCTCATGCTGCTGCCAGGTCCAGAGTGTGTCATGGGTCCCTGTACGGCCTCCCATTGCTGCTGTCTCCATCGCCACACTCTGCCATGTGCCACTTTCAGGTCTCCTCACACTGCTGGTGGGTTCCATTTTGTCATAGGGTGCTGTATGGCCTCCCATTGCTGCTGCCTCCACCGCCACACTGTGGCTCCACACTCTGGTTTTGGCCCCGTGACTGCCCAAATGAGTGAAGTGTGCGGTGATTCTAAGATCGACGGCACTCATCTGCATGTCATACTGACTGACAGTATTATTTCTCTTCCCCAGCAGACTCCAAGGGCATTTAAATTAAAGGTACAGTGTTCTGCACTAATATAAAGGCTCTCTGAAGCCTAGAAACCCTTTTTATAAGTTAAATTCGCAGCGAATAAATTCGCATCGAATCGAATTTATTCCACAAATTCGGCGAATCAGCCGAATCAAATTTTTGGATAATTCGCTCATCTGTAATGTTCATAATCATATATTTATAGAAGAAAATTATTTGTCCCATTTTTTTCAAAGTAATTTACTGAATAAAAGGCATAAATCAAATGTGATTTTTTTTTATATTAGGCTACCAGAAGAAAGCCAAATTCTTCACAAGCAAAAAAAAAAAATTGCTGTGATCATGAATGTATGAAAAAGCCTCACTCCACTGAAGGCGTAAAGGAGTAATGTTTATATCTAACTACAATGCTCATGGTCAAAGTACTAGGAGCTCATTCACACCCTTCTGTTACAACAACCCACATTACATGCTCTAGCACAGGGTTATCAAACTCAATTTCATTGCTGGCCACATCAGCATTATGCTTGCCCTCAAAGGGCGTGTTGTATCTGTAAGACTATATAAATGTATCTATTCTTTATTATATTAAATGGTTGCCCCTCCGTTAGAAAATTACTGGTTTTAGTAATAACAAGACTTAAAGCTGCTAACTTTTAATAAACACATACTTACCTGTCCCAGGATCCAGCATTATACTCACCTGTGCCTTCCCTTCTCTGCCTCTTCTCTCTCCGGCATCACAACTGTGGGCACCAGGCTGTGACAGCTTGCGGCTTCACAGCTGGGTGCCTACTGCGCATGCACGATTCGCGCTGTGAATCCTGATTGGGTCGGCAGTCTTCTTGGACCTGTGAAGGAAAGAGAAGGCTGAACTTCTGGCTCACTTTGCTGCGGCGAAAAACAGGTATCTGCTCACCCCCCCCAAAAGGTGCCAAATATGGCAGTGGAGGGGGGGGGGAGGCAAATATGCCGAGCTTCTGTTTTTGAGTGGAACTCCACTTTAAGCTGTGAAGGGCACGTGCAGACAAGCACTGAGCCCACTCACACTCCTGTTGCAGATGATGCAAGTCTGAAAAGAAGGGTTGCATACCGCTGGTATCATCTACAAGAAACTTTATTGGAGACTGCGCAGACAGAACATGATTCTTCCATGGTGTTCTGTCTGAGCAGTCTGAAATAAAGTTTCTTGTGGTTGATACCAGAGGTGGGCAACCTTCCTTTTCAACTGGCATAGAACTGTTATATTCTGCCCCCTCCCCTTACATCAGATGTCAAAAGCTCCCCCAACCACCAGATGTCAAGAGTTCCCCACATCACAGTGCACCCCCCTTTCGAAGCTGGGGACAGAGTTGAAAGCAGAAAATGCAGGCTCTAGAGGAGGACCAGAGGAGGGCTGAAGTCAGCTACTGGAGTTTGCTGAATACTGAGACCTAGGGAGGTGGAGATGAGGGTGTGCTGCAGCTGCACAGAGAGGCACTGGATCTGTAAGAGGAGTTATGTCCTCTTTTCTGCTTCTGACTGCTGAGATGGGGGGGGCAGAAGAAAGCCTCTCCCACTTCTGAGACAAGGTGGGGGTAGAGACAGCAGGGGTGCTGCAGGTGAAGGAAAGGTGCGAGGGCCACATGAAATGGCCTGGATTTGGCCCACAGGCCTTGTGTGTAACACATGTGCTCTAGCACATTTCTATGCCATTACTTTTGATTGGCACCCCAACTCACCAAGGCACAACCTGCTCCAACATGCACTGCAAATGATGCATGTTCTTTTTTGGATATTTTGGTGCACTGCAAGCCCATTCCTTCAAATGGTTTACCTCAATGCAAAGCATTTTAACAAAAAAAGTGCATTACTGGATATGTGTTGATGCACCACACTGGCAAAGTGTGAACATGGCCTAAACAACCCTAAATTATGACAAAACACGATTCTCCATAAGTCATGTATTTTCATCTTGCTTGAGTTATATCCTCATTTCCATTTCTTCCTTTGGAAATCCTCCATTAAATTCCGAGAATCAGAAGAGCAGGTCTTCATTTGGAGACTATCAGTGAATATAAATGCATATCAGATGCTACTTGTCCATTATGGAAAACCAAAAGAATGGGATCAGATAAAATTTAATGAAATATAAATGCATTCTAGAAAATTGCCCAGTTGAGCATGATAAATAAAACACTTGACTAGGAATTGTTGGGAAGTATATTTCTATTTATAGCTTGTTATGTTATACAAGGATACAATTAGAGTACATGCTGAACACACTAGGAGATAATAGTCAGTCATAGTGATTGGAGACAGTCGGGGGAATCTAGGCGGAGGTCTCTGTGAGGTGACATTGGAGTATAGTACCCTTGGTCTGTAGAATTGAAGGTGACAGCTGACTGGCCAGTAACACAGCACATCAAGCTGCAGGCTGGACGAAAGTCTATAGTCTATATAGTTGTTATTCTATTGCACAGTCCATGAATGTAACTCTTTGAAGTTACAGCATGGAACCTGAAATCATTTTTCAGGTAAAATGTTTACTGTTCAATTCATATAAATGTTTAATTTAATTTGTTTCCCTGGATTTTCCATTTAAGTCATCAAATGAACCAAATCCAATAATGTATTACAAAATTGTTTATATTTGATACTTAATTTAAACTATATGAACACTCTGTTATGGTCATGGTAATCAAGAGGATGTTAATGCCTGAAATTGATTACTTATGACAAATACGGAGCAATGCAGCCGCTTTTTAAGTCTTACTGAGAGTGAAAGGTCAATAGTGGAGTCAGTATGCAGCCAGTGAAAGATACAGAACAGTCTGCATAGTTTACATCTGTATGCAATGCTCATACTTCTAATGCTACATTTAATCTGTATTTTACAACGTGCATTATGCATCATTATGCAATCTTTTTTCTGATTTCATTTCATTGGTTTTAGAGGATCTTTTATCATATCCCCTGCACTTTGCTGAATGGATTAATATCACATAGAATCCATTTGAAATCACTTGGGCACTGGATCTTCACGTAGCACCATTATCTGACTGATGTCAGATTTTCACCAACACATGGTTATTTTTTGTGTATTGACTTTTTGTAGTTGCACTTAATATATAGTGCCTAGTGTCTTTGCAGAGGAGTTTTTATGTATTCATTGTTTTTTGCATTTAATTTATTTTCATATATTTTGGCACAAATTATTAACCCTATAGCTCTGCATTGATTATATATGTTATTTAAGGTCTTTTGGGTTCCTTTTTAGTGCATTTGCTGCTGACTCTATTTTAATCTTGAGCGCTCACTAATTTCTTCATCAAATACTTCAGGATTGTTCAATTTTCAGATGTATCCCATTGTTTGTGAACTCTATATCTTTCCTACAGACTAAATGATAAATACTGATTTGGGTTATTTTCACCAAAGAAATGTAACAGAATACATCTTGGCCTAAATTTATGAAGAACATTTATTTGCCAGCGAGTTTTTTTTTTTCAAATTTTTCGGTCTTTTTTTGTTAATTTAGCAAAAAATAAAAATCTCAGTGGTGATTAAATACCACCAAAAGAAAGCTCTAGTGTGAAGAAAATGATAACAATTTAGTCTGGGTACAGTGTTGCATGACCTCGCAATTGTCATTCAAAGTGTGAAGGCACTGAACCCCGAAAATTGACCTGGGCAGGAAGGGGGTAAAAGTTCTTGGTATAGAAGTGGTTAAGTAGAAGGAAAAAAACCCACTGACAGGGTGCCCTGGAGCAGCACTGTTTTGGCTGAAAAAAAAAGGTTGACCCCCCTTAAACACGTGTAAATGCGCCTAAACGCTCTGTGCATTTATTGCTTGAGCATTCACTTATTTCAATATCCAGAATAAATAATTTATTCTGGCCAAATAATTTAATTAACGCTCAAACACTTGACACTGGTAAACATGGTACACACTTTTACAAGCATCAAGCATTTTTTTGGTCAAAATGCTGCTGGCTTCTAGTGGAGTTAACATAATTCTCAGTCTGTATGATACCTTAGATTGCTGTTAGGACCAGGGGTGGACTGACCATTTGGGCACCTGGGCACTGCCTGAAGGCCCGGAGTCAGTAGGGGGCCCCATGAGATGCCCCTGGTACCTTTCATAGACTTTTTTGGGTGTGGTTTGAGTGTGGGCAAGGACAAAGGGGCCCCATGATTTCCTATTGCCTGGGGGCCCCATGAGTTGTCAGTCCGCCCCTGGCTAGGACTACAGTTTCTTGGAATGCCCCTCTGTACATTGGATGAATCCAGAGGCAACACACTGTTTACTATGTACTATGTGACAGGGAAGCAGTTTATGCTTAAAACAAATAGCTGCTAAAACCCAATGCAGTCTACGCTGCTCTCCGCCTTGCACCAATCCACAAGCCACGCCCTCTGACATATTTTGCCCCAGTCATAGAGGTAAAAGGCAGAGGCAGGCTTTCTACTTTTTAAAAAAAAAATCTTTTTTTTTCACATACTCTTTCACAGTTTTTTACACACATTTTTTCACAAAAACATACACTTTTTTCTTTTCATCTTCACCACACAGTGTCTTTCAATATTTCAATCTTCATTCATTGCTTTTTTATTGTGATCACTACATTACATTTCTTAATTGATCTTTATCCAATTCATATTCTCAATCTTTATAACATTTTTTTCCGCTTTTTTCACTTTTCAATCCTTATTTCAACTTTTCACTTTGCATTACTTTCAAGCATTATTTCTCACATCCCTTAACATTCCTTTTTTTTCTTTACCTGTCTCTCACATACTGTCACTTTTTTTCCTTCAGTTTCAAACTCCATTTCCTCCATTCACTTCATTACCCTAATCACTTGTACATGTTTACCTTCACATCTTCACAGCCAGCGATGCATACGTTGTTTTATCCTCCCTCTGCCCTTTACATCTATGACTAAGCCCTGGTGAGTGGGGCAAAATATGCCAGAAGGTGTGGCTTGTGGAGTGGTGCAAGGCTGAGGCCATCTTACACATGTTAACCACTTGCCCTCCTGAGGATTTACCCCCCTTCCTGACCAGG